CTGTCATCTGTTACATAACGTCTCGGTAGACCAGTAGGCGTGTGAAACCTTAGGGGTAGACATAGCCTTGGGTCACCGCGACCCGAGTGACCAATCGACCATACTTGACCATCCCAGGCAACACGTGATTGTGTGAGAGTATGTGAGTAGGGATGCGTCTATTGGTTCTGTAACTGGGATAGTCCTACTCAATAGTGAATGAATGCTATTTAAATAGGAATGAATTGGCGAATTAATGGATGTCACAAGTACACACTGTGTTTGCGCATGACAGGAATGTTTGAGATGGGGAGTGGGTAGTGTGCTAGAATAAGTACAAATGTTTGTTACATTATACATGTTCGTAACAAAGAAAACAACATAATTAACATAATTGGCTAGGCAGAAAGCTGATGAAGCCAGAGAGTAGACAAAGGACAGGCGTGGAAGCCAATGATGTACAAATAATAATGAGATGTTTATACAGCAGAGTTTATACAGTAGATTGGGCTTGGTGGATGAGTGCGTCATAAGCGGAAGATCCGGGTTAGAATTGATCTTCAGCAACACATGCCTGTCGTAAAAGGCGAATAACGGGATCGGGTGGTCAGGCTCGCTGACTTGGTTGACACATGTCATCGAATCCCAATTGCGTAGATCGATGCTCATGCTGTTGATCATTGGATTGTCTGGTCCAGACTCGATTATTTACAGACCGCCGCCATACAGCTGGGATAGCTGTTAGGCATTAAACAACAAACCAACCAGCCAATTTTAAGCATCTCGCATTTTTTGTTAATCATATAATTTAAACTTTTTAAACGAGTTGTGTTATGTTTGCTGGGCACTGCACGCACACCCACTCGCCGATACCACTTTCAGGTAGTACTACATGTGACACCTTAATAACCGATCAGCATCTTCTTCATAATGTCGCACTAAACAGAAAGGCAGGGGGTATCCGGAGGGGGTAGATGTCGCCGGAGGTCACCGTGACCCCAAGGACCGGCTAGCCATACTTGACCATACCACACAAAAGCTGTAGCTCTCCATAATGAAGTGTCCATTGTGCCCATTGTCAAGTGATGCTTCCTAATCAGGGGATGAATAGTGGCTCGTGAGTTTCCAGTGTCCCCCTCACAATGGGGAAAATGTTGGTATAATTGTACGGTGGACAAGTTAATGGTTGAAGTTTCCCAGCCAAGATGAAACTAGAACAGGTTGTTTCTATTTCCGTATCGAGACGGCTAACCGCCTGCTATCTCTGGCTCGTATTCGCTGAAGTGACGCTGTCCTCCGTGCAGCTCTCATGCAGCAGAATTTATGTAACACTGGTGTAAAGTGAGTGAATGAAGAAATCAGTGAGTGAGTGAGTGAGTGAGTGAGTTACTTGAGAGCGTAACATTGTGCACCCCAGGAGATAATCGAACCCTGTCTATTGCGTGAGGCGCGAACGTTTTAACGACAGTATGTCAAAGCACGAGGCTGTATAAAGAGCTTAGCCCTTAAAGAGCATACCGAATGTGACATCTGTCCATTGTATGTCTCAATCGGGTAGAAGAGTGGGTCATTGACACCTATATCAAGCCCACCTGTACTAGTGTTGTGTGTGTATGCTTACGTGTTCAGTTTACCATCAGAGATAGATGGTAAACCTGCCACCCACTGCAGTCCCGTAGAGTAAGCGCTGAACATGCAATAACTGTTGACATTAGTGTCAAGATGACAGAGTTTATGGTTACGAGCATACATAACCAGGTGACGCCCACTCCGTCTATAACAAACCAGGAAGACATCGAGGTAAATGTCAATACAGCGAAACTTCGTTAATCCGGACGGTATTGACCTCAGTGAGAGAGAGAGGGAAAGAGAACGAGAGAGAGAGCGGGAGGGAGAGAGCGGGAGAGAGGATTCCGAAAGTGTTACGGTCTAATATGTCAAATTAACCCGTGGCTCTGAACGCTTCAAGCTTTTTTATGGTGGTCATAATTATGATGATGATAAAAATGGATACATGTCCAACTATATGTCGCCAAACTCCACATCGATGGTGGGGCGGTGGGGTAGCCTAGTGGTTAAAGCGTCCGCTCGTCATGCCGAAGACTCGGGTTCGAATCCCCACATGGGTACAATGTGTGAAGCCCATTTCTGGTGTCCCCCGCCGTGATGTTGCTGGAATATTGCTAAAAGAGGCGTAAAACCAAACTCAGTCAGTCAGCCACAACGATGGTATGCTAATGGCGCATACAATGCTCGTTGAAAGATTAAGACGATAAGAGGTCTTTGCCTACTTTGAAAGCAGAAGGAGTTCGCACTGGCCTAAGAGTCAGAGGATAAAACTATATACGAGATCAAGTATTTCAAGATCAAGTACTTTGAGTTAAAGGGTTGTACTACACGTGGACTTAAACGAAAGGCATATTTTCGTTATGAAGTAACATCAGTACGTTGAAACATATTCAACCAGTGATGAGCACTGAAGATCTGAAACCAAATCTGAAGAGAATAATATTTTCAAAACTAACCATGGAAGCTGTGATAATGGCCACACAGCCAAGTCACAGATCCCTAAAGTCAACGCTCCACGTGTGGTGTGTCAGTAATTACCTAATTTCCCGATAATCTTAATCGGGATTATAGGCTAAGCCATTATGTCTGATACAGGCATGTACCTTGTTGGATCTTTGACAGGCCTCATACACAGATGTCTGATCAATCCGATTCCACGGACAAGTAACCAGAACGCGTGTTGGTAGGTTATGTACAAATGTAATAGCCTTGGCTTCGTATCAAAACACAAACTAAGCGGTTAAGTATCGCTTATCGACGATCATGAGATTTCATGAGATTTTTGTTCTGTGTGTTGGCTGCTGGTATTTATGCCCACGAGGAAGGAAGAGTAGAGGGAGTTTTACGCTGCTTTTAGCAATATTCCTGCAATGTCACGTCGGGGACACCAGAAATGGACTTCACACATTCTACCCCATGTGGGGAATCGAACCCGGGTCTTCGGCGTGACGAGCGAACGCTTTAACCACCAGGCTACCCCACGTGGGGTCCCTTGGGTGTACCAGGAACACCTTGGGTTTCGAACTCCATTTCCCAGCTGATTTTGTTTTTTTCCTGGCTTGTCAGCTCAACAAATAAACAATTGTTCACCAATGTAGCAATATTAGGACCTGCATGACTCCGGATCTTCCATCCACAAAAACCTGACCCGCCGTGAATAGGTCCCCATGTGCTTAATGGTTCTATGTTGAAATATTATTAATTAGGGTGACAACAGAAGTAATATCGATATTGTTATATATTCCATGTTATTGCTGTCTATACTTCTATACTATTGCTATATCTACATATTCAGAGATCAATACTATACGCTACAGTAATGAGCGGATCAGATTGTATGAGTATACACGTATCTCATCGTCCAAAATACAATTAGGAGCAATAGCTGCCATATGAAACTGTATAGTTGGATGAGAAATAATGTAAACTTTCATGTTGAAATGGGAAATAAAGGGAAACAGTATATTAAATTATGTAATATAGTAAATCTGTATATTGAAATAAGAAAGAGATGTAAAACATTATACTGAAATGAGAAATTATTTGAAACTGCATGTTGAAATTAAGAATTTATGTGAAACTGCACGTTGAAATGAGAAATATGAAAACAATATATTGGAATAAGAAATGTGAAACGTTATTCTGAAATGTGAATCATGTGAAACCATAATGATAAATATCATGAAACTTCATACCTAAATGAGAAATTATGTGAAACAGAATATGAGGGAAATGAAACTGAACAATAGAAGGGAAATAATCAGTTCAAAGACTAACGCTTAAGGTAATCAGCCAGTCTCCTCTCCACTGTCGATATCAACTTCAAGGCTGCCACCATTGTAGTGCCACCTGAAAGACCTTTCACTGAATTTAAATATCGTACTCCCTGGACCGTGCAACACGAAATCACTCATGCACGACCTGATCAGGACAGCCGTGTTTTACACATACCACAGTCCACTCCTGATTAGCGTTAATCAGGCCTTCGTTAATATGACATAAACATAGCCCGTGTTATGTAAACCTGTCATAGAACCACGCTCCTGTTGATGGTATATATCTCACCCCCTGCTGTACACAGTCAGAGAGCCAACATGCACCCCTCAGACCAATATGTACAGCTTCGTTGTGGTAGCTGCGTATTTGATCAAACGATATACCGGATGCCTTTACTGGCATGTATGGACGTTATTCTATAGACGGAGGAGGCGTTATTTAAGGCATAAAATACTTAAAATGCGTGCAGGCATTTTACAGACAGGTAGGGTGCAGGGATTGGTTGTTGTAGATTTTATTTCAAACTTTGTTTTCGTAAAATACTGTCACGTATTGTGAATGCATGATGGACAAACGATAAATGACCAGAGACGATTGGACCAACACACGTCTCTATGTCTATGTCCTTCATATGTATATTTAACGTTTCTAACAAAAATATACATTTTCAGTGTGTGTCAGTGGACTGACGGCTTATACTGCGACTCTTATAATAGTGTTTTTTTACGTTGTTTTATGTGTGTATGTGCAACGTAAAACAATTTAAGTAGTTTATTATTTTTCAAAAGCTATTCAGCTCCATGAATAAAAGTACACGTATGTGGGCTCAAACACTCAACATGTGTTTGTGTTTTTCGTTCAATAGCTTGTTTTTTTAAAGATATATTATTTATTCATTTCTCAGATATTGCTATTTTGCGAAAAATAACAATAGAGATGGTCACTCATAAATAATCTTTAATAATCTGTACAACAACCTGCTACACTAGACCATCTGAAATAACGCCCCGTGTGGCAAACTAGTTACCTGGGCTTTCCACTAAACTCCCAACAGCCCTCAAAGTGCTGTGCGGAGTTTCGGGATGAGGAAGACGGTTACCTGTACAACTGTGTGCGCATGTGCAGAGAGAGTACCGTTGACAATGACTGAAATATTGCATTCCGTGTTTTAACAGGTAAAATGGGATCACGGAGAGACGCGGGGTTATTGGATAAGTGCCTGTCGGATATACGAGAAAAACAGGTAAGTGACCTATATCATTGTGTCCTTTGATGTTGTGTCGGCCCAGGTGAGAGAAAGCAAGGGCGTCCCAGATGTGAACACAGAGTCTGACACCATTTTTAAAGCTCTCGTTATAAGAGGAATTTTACTTCTAAATAACGCGATTTCGCTGTAAGAATGTGCCCTGAATGATAAAAGCTTGAACCGGGATATTTAATAACGATTTGTCAACTGACAATTTTCCTGCGGGAGATTGTACGAGTTCCCACCTGTGACATACCTGGCCTCATCGCGTTGTCGGTCGGTGTATTTGACACTCCACAGGCTAAATGCAAACTTTCTCTCTCACCTGACCATAGCGGCGCGTTTGATGGTCTGTCTGGTTGTATTTGAAATAGTTCGACGACCACTTGTGTGTCGTTTAGCGTGTTTTACTATGATGTTGTTGGTTTAGATATGTAATCATGTTTATAAGTAGTGTAACGTAATTTTCCCAGGTACACTATCCTCACGTTTAACTACATGATATATCTTACGATCGGATCTAACGAGAACATGAAACTTTTAGATAATCTACATGTGTAGTTAATGTATACGATGTAGTATACGATGGAGTTGTTTCATTGGGAGAGATTTAACAGAAATCCAGCCTACATAAAAACCAAACTTGTTTTGCCGTTTTTGTTTATTTTATCACTTTAACAGGACCATTCTTAAGATGACGTCGCGCGCAGATCAATGTTTACATTGGGCACTCCCATTTCCGCGTTGTATTCAATTACTTTTTAAGATTAAACCGATGACAAAGTTGTGCCACAAGTCGATTAAACGCAACACACCTGTAAAAATATTTTGATATTTGATACTGTAGTTGAAGTGATGTGGGCGTTTTAGGTAGATAGATGTGTATATATATATTCTATTCTGTCAGCGTCAGATTGACCCTGGACGATTAAGGTACTTGTATGTAATTTCATATATGAGCTACTTGAGCGTTGGCCATTATGATAACTGATAACGTCGTTATTATCAATAATTGCAAACGTTAGTTCAATTAATAACTGACGTGCATGTGGTGTCATCGGACTGGCCAGGTGTCTCTGTCCAGGCCTTAATAGGTGTAATGATGACAGTGATGATGATGATGATGATGATGATGATGGTGATGATGATGATAAATAAATCACTGACAATACCATTCAGTCGTGGAATCGATACAGACCTGTGACAAGTGTGTGATCAATCATCATCATCATCATCATCATCATCGTCATCGTTATCATCATCATCATCGTTATCATTATTATTTTCCATGAAAATAAACACACTAACAATACCATTCTGGTATGGGTGTTCGGTTGTACTATTGGATGATCCCCTGTGTGTGGTCATGTGTATATCTTTGCTGCACTGGCTGCCTATAAATGGAGATCCGATGTCGTTCACCCAGATAAGCAGCCACCATGTTTATATCACCAGGTTTACTGGACTAGTCAATCAATATATGCAGTGTTTGTTCAGTCTGTGAGTCATAACACATTGCATATATATATGACACAACTCGTATCCCTACACAGCATGCATATGATTGTCTGGATGTACATCGTTGTCTACATGTATCAAGCCTACGTTAGCTGCGTTATTGTGTATTGATTTATGTCTACCGTTATAAGTTTACCGTTATCAAATACACTCACGTGTGTATACAATACAATCATTTCATGGAACGGAGGAAGTAAATGTTTATCTGTTGATTAAAGCCTCACTCAGCAATATTCCAGCTACATGACGACAGTGTGTTAGGAGTCGAGTCTGGACCAGGCAATCCAGTGATTGGTATCATGAGATCCTTTCACGGAAATGGAACACGATGACGAACACTGACCAAATCAGTGCGCCTGACCACTCGGTCCTATACGTCAACCCTTACGACAAGCATGGGTTGTTTGAGCCTGATGACTCGGTCCTATGGGTTGCTTGAGCCTGACCGCTCGGTCCTATACGTCAACCCTTACGACAAACATGGGTTGCTGAAGACCAATAATTAATTTATTTTAACTTTAACGGGTGTGAATGACATACAAATGACAGTTATCAAATACGCCCTGCGTTAGTGTACTTTTCATGAAGATCATATTCTAAGAAAGAATTTTGTTGAATTTATGAATTTTGAAATTCAAAACCAGCATCCGGGACGATGAATCTCCTGCTGATATCACCTGATGTTTGTAGGTTAATTTGTATATCAGGCTTGAAGTAGCAGTTTGCTGTCTAGGGCCATTATAGCGATTTGATACGCCTGAGCGTGTTTGAACCCTTTGAACCTATTGGCAGACAGGTCATGGTATTGGAATGTGTATCTTAATGTCAGCGTAAAGTCAACACACTCAGTTATGGCTCTCACAAAGACGATGACATTCAACAACCATGTCTTCATCTCATCAAGTGAATGACGATTTGGGTGGGTGCTTAGACCCGCTTTGAACCTCATTCACAAAGAAGCAGATCCATAGCTCAGACACATAGAGTTGACAGTAAACATTCTTTGGTTGTATTAGCCCGACGTTACATCCACGTGTTTGAGCTCAAGATGAAGACGTCAGTTGATTTCATTCATGCACACCATGCATGGTGTCCTTTGACTTCTGTAGTCAAACCTCAGGCCATTAAAAGTCAGATGGCACGATCCAGATTTGATCTCAAGGTACAACATAATTTCGTTTGTATGGATCACTGACATACACAACGCTTCGTATGTCATGGCAAATAGAGGTTTCTTAAGTTATTTCTATGGAGCTAGTTTTATTGCATGGTTCAAAGGTCTGTGAATACCACCAAGGATAGCCGTATGGCAATTACTGCTCCTTTCTTAACTCAAAATGATGATAATCATTATTATGAGAAGCCTTAATTACAGACATTTTATCGATTCCTGAGTCCGTGTTAATAGTGAATGTATAGGAAGACGTATTTGTCAACATACATCAACTAACACATTGACAGGTATTGTCAACAAAAAACGACGAAGTCACCTGTCCGACTTGCTCATCGTTTCTCAGTGTACAGGTTCCACCTTTCTCAAATGTCATAGTATATTTACCTGGGTCCTTTGATGGCTGCGTTGTTTGAGGCTGCGGCTCTTTGATGTGGGGATGATGACAAAAGGGTATGTCAATAGTTTACCTCAAGTGACACGGGGACTTTCGGGACCAGTCATCAACACCATTCCTGAAAGGGTTTCGCTGCGTCCTCACTGTGGAATGGTGTCGGTGTCAGAATATTGGTGATGTCGCATGTTCCTAATGTCTGAAGCCCCAAACAAAATGTTTCGAAATGATAAGCTGAATATCTGCGTAAATTACGCAAATATTTATGTGAAAAGTCAATTCCTATTATGTCTATCGCGTACAAGTACGCTTGAATTTTTGTAAATACTCAATAAATTTGATCTTATATGCGTACACACAAAAGTCAAATCTTAGCTTAGTGTACCGGTGGATAGATGAAATAACTGAGGTATACTGAGAGGTACTATTTCAACACATGAACTTGGCAACTTCTTTCTTATCGTTTCTCATATTAAATATCAAATATAAATAACAAACACTTAAACCAATATTTAAACTTTATTATATTTTTGTACAATTAATGGAAAATGGCAAAATACCCAGTTGAGTTTCAGTGAGGTGGGTACAGTTTATTACGTTACTCAAAGGAAAATTAGAATACCCAATTGAGATGAACACAAGCGAGTACATAACTCAATGCCCCAAAAGTTATCTGTAGCTCTGTTATATAGCTGGACTATTGCATGTTATTTCAGAGTGTTCATTACAGAGTAGTGATATGTACAAAGACTATAGTTTAGAGCAGCGGGTTTGGTACTTCGCCGATATATGACTTGAGTATACATTGTATTAGGAAGGCATGAAATCACGGATATCCTTGAACCCATAGTACCGATACTTTTATCTAACACTGATACCTTTCTGCATTTCGACTGGAGCACGCTGACCCAGTCAGTTATACGCATTGTCACCATAGCAACTGTTTTATATTGCCACACATTAATACCTAATCTAACATCGTTGCTAAGCTACAAACAAGCATGCCAAAGTTATTATTTTATCCAGATTATGTGGGTGGCAGATAGCACAGGACACGGTTATCCTTTTCCAAAACTCCCGGTGTCATCACTGTGTGCGTGTGCACCTGACTGGGGGCAGTGGGGTAGCCTAGTGGTTAAAGCGTCCTCTCGTCACGCCGAAGACCCGGGTTCGATTCCCCAAATGGGTACAATGTGTGAAACCCATTTCTGGTGTGCCACGCAGTAATATTGTTGGAATATTGCTAAATTCGGCGTAAAACTAAACTCACTCACTCACTCACTCTCACCTGACTGGAAGAGAAACCAATGTTTAATCCATTAGACATGTTAGATATGAAGATATAACCACAGCTGATGCCCTTCCACATAACACACTGAATATATGAAACAACATACTAACACATGTCACACGATTAGGTCGCTCAACTGTTATACATGGGCAAACTGTCTCACCGTACACTCAACAGCCGTCAAATGTATGTACAAGTTGAGGAGATTCGTTGTTCATCATCTTGAAAGGGTAAATGAACTCTGAGTCTACAACTAGTGGTACCACCGTAGGCCTTGTACCATTGTGGAGTCCTGAAAGGAGGTCAACACTGTCACTGTATATCTACAACACACACATGCAATCTTCGACTTGCATTCAGCTTTAGTTTCATAACAGCTCAGCTTTACATGGGGCCCTGGCGCTGACGTCTCCTTGTTACTGATGTGTCGAACACGTTTGATGTTTTCGTAGTCCCGATACAACACAACATTGTAAGGAAATCTTTAATGTCTCTTTCTTACCAATCATGCCGAGGCACGACTAGTGTTTTGGATTGAAATAGTTTCATGCAATTTTTGTGTGTCGTGGGAGGGTCTGATAACTATCTGTTTTGTACCGTGGCAGAGGTTTGACTGTACACTG